CATTTTTGGAGTTTAAAATTTTATAATTAGATATGAAAATATATTTTTAGATAATTTTAAGAATTATTTATACCAAAATTACATGTTATAATATAATTTGGAGGTGCGTCTTAATTGGATTGTTTTAAAGGTTGCAATTTTCGTTGTAGTTGTAAATTAGATTTTTTAAATTAGATTATGTTGTAAGACAAACTTCAAATTTATGAGTAAAGAGAATCAATAAATATTTGATGTGACAGTAATTTCACTTTACATGGAAAGTTATTTTTTTAATTTTATATTATGGAAGTGTTTTTTCATATTTTAAATTATTTTGATGCAATATTATAATATTATATTATAATTAATAATTATACAGACATCCACACAAAGAAAAAAAGTCTCAATATTCACATATTTTTGTAGATAATGGAATGACATAATATACATCCCAATTGTTTTTTAAAAAAAATTAAAAAAATTATTTTTAAAAATATTTAACGATTTTTTGAAGCCAAAACAACAACTATAACTGATTCTCCTATCTAGATTGCTGATCCATCGATTCGACATGGTTTTTGGGGTGACTGATCTGAGTTTTCAATCCGTTTATTAAACCTTGGTTCAATGCAATGGAGTGGCACGCAAATTGTTGACAAGACACCTCAAAATCATCTCATTGTTTCATATACGGAAGCTTCATCAGTGATCATCAATATGGGTGGGAAATGAGTTGGCTTGATGAGTGGACCCGATAGGTTGTTCCAACCAGGTCAAAGATTGGACTAGGAAAATGAACTCAACGGGTCGGCACTGGTTCCACTTGACATTGGCCGGACCTTGGTCAGGTCTGGATCAAGTCCAGCTCAAAACTTATCGAGTGCTTGGATCTAGGTTGGGGTGGACCTGTCACGAAAGTAAATATTAATATAAAATTAAATATAAATAATATTAAATATATACAATAAGATATATAACTTTATTTCTTAGATCTTTCTATTTATAGACCTAGACCCGATCAGAATTGATGGGTTAGATCAAGTTCAGGGTCCAATTGATATGGGTTCAGGTCAAGTCTGGGTCTAACTTAGAGCTACTCATATCCGGTCGGGTGAATTGGATCCGACCTGACCCATCTGCACCCCTTGATCAATTTTTCCTATGGTAGGTGACCACTTGCCCACCAGCTCACCAGCTCGTACAATACTTTTGAGGCAGGAGCTTTTCACTTAGGGCATAAGGCACGTTGATAATTGGAAGTTTGCTGCTCTAAAATCTAAAAGTTTCAGTAAATCTAAAAGTTTCAGTTTATTATAGCACTTTCTTGTTTTGACAATGTTATCACCACTCAGTCAGAGCTTGAATCCCTTGGTTTTTCCCAATTTCTCATTAAGAAGAAACTTTAAGATCTGAAATTTCCTCAATTATCACAACGTTTGATTTTCTGTCAAGTATGAACTGCACTACATCGATGTGCTAAGTAAGAAAAACTGGATTTGAGTTGTTTTTCTTTTTTTTGGTGAATCAATGGGGATATCGAGCCCCTACCCGTTTTATTAAAGAATCAAAATAAATATTACATGAGCAGTTCTTAAACAACCCTTGGCAAGGGAACACTTGCAACATCAGATAGAATGAAAGGCACCACAAAATCAGGGGGCCAAGCACGCCACACCATCAAGTCATTCGTAGAAACTGTTGCTTTGGCCCAAGAATCCGCAACCATATTGGCCTCCCTATAAGCGTGTTAGACATTCCATTGCTAACCTACGAGCGATGCAAGCTTAGATATACAATTAAACAAAATTAAGCACAATCTCTAAGGAGGCCTGCAACGACGACTCACATAATAAACAAGAAGCTTGGAGCCACTTTTAATAACAAGGGGTACATAGTTCAACGCCATTGCCAATGAAATACTCCTCTGAAGTGCATATAATTCAGCTGTGTTATTAGAATTAATACCCAAATGAATTGCAAAAGCTGCAATGAATCCACTTGCGTCATTCTTGATATACCCGTGTCACACTCCAAGTTCACTAGCAGTCCTGAGGTACGACTTACTACTCTTCTATATATATATATATATATATATATATATAACAAATTCAAATTCCTACTTAATAAAACAAATTATTCCATTTCTTTTAATCTGTGCAAAGTCTACTCACAACAAATATTGTACATGACGGCTAGGTATATACATTTCTTGATAGAACAAAAATTACAATGGTGCATTCGATCAAAAGTTACAAGGGAAAGTTAATTATGACTACAAATTTCTTCAAAGATGGTCCTGCGCCATTTGAACTTATGAAACTGCAATTACCCTGAAAAGGATTTGCTATAGTTTAATGAGTTTGGCTACTTAGTAAATGATCATCATAGTCCTAAAAAATAATCATGGTTGGAAGATATCAATACTTTCAAAAAGTGAGGTCTATTAAAAACAATAAGAGGAAGAGCACTTATGTAAAACAATTTCACTTTTAGGAATACACAATTAAGTATAATCCAAAAGAATGAAATGCATAAAATTTTTTTAATAGAAATGCATAACTCAAATGATTTCACAAAGTACCCTACTGACGTCCTAAATAGATTACCTATATACCCTACCAGCGTCCTAGATGGGTCCACATAATCCCTCTAGGTCCAATGAAACCTCACCGGCATATCAAATGACTCCACATAATCTCCATCGATGTAACCGGATAGGTCTACTTAATCCCTACAGGTCCGATCATACCTCACCGGCGTACGGGATGAGTCCACTTTGACATATGATTCATACCAAGATCATCAATAATCTAACTTTAGTAGTTTAAAACATGACGGCAATTGAGTATCATCGATGATCAAACCAGCATTCATAACAACATAAGTCCTATAACAGAAGCACTAACCTTGGGTCCGAGTTTAGAACTTCTACCATCCCGTAAGGAGAGGCACCACCAACGGGTAAGTTCGTTACGTAGTGCCTCACACACGCACACATCCTCAGCGGGCTTTAGGGCTTTGGATAGGCGATGGCCTTGCAAGACACTACCCCTTACGCTACCTTGGTTAGGAGCTTGCGTCGTCAAGGTGCCAATCAATATGAATAGGGGAGCGAGCTCCCAAACAACTGCCGCCCCTACTTCCTTCCTATCATTCGGGAATCAGGGAGGTCACACTTGTTGGCACAAATATCTCATCAAATCATAACAAAGGCATGTCTCGATGTGCTCATATCTTTTCAGAAATTTGTTGCCATGCACACATATCTTATCAGAAGCATGTTGTCATGCACACATATCTTATCAGAAGCATGTTTCTATGCATACATATCTTATCAGAAGCATATCTCACATGTAATAACAAAAACATCAACATTTCTATACTATACATGTAGTCACAAGGGATATCACTATGTCATACTATGTCATACATTATAATTCAAAAGACCTTATAATGTCAATTGCAGGCCATATATCAATGTAGTACATATCAGGAAATAATAATATCATATTTTCAAAATATCATTGAAATTATTAACATAAAGCAATTTATAGCAATCACTTGTGCAGAACACTTGCACATAATAATTGCGCATAACACTTGTGTAAAACAATTGCACATAACACTTACACATAACATTTACACATAATACTTACACATAACATTTGCACATAATACTTGTATATGACAATTGCACATAACATTTGCATGTGACATTTGCATATACTTGCATATAACATTTATAGTATCTAGAATTTATGCTGCAAATATTACAATTAAATACAGAATTACGTAAAACTTACAGTTTTGAAAATATTACAATTAAATGCATAAATATATTTGGGATTATTGTAAAATTCTCAGTTTTCTTCAAATAATGATTTTTTCAGGAAAATGAAGCCACTCACACATAAAACTTACAATATCTTAAAATTCATAACAATAAATAAAAGTATTACAATTTAAATGAAAGAGGCAATACCATAATTTACCGGATCTGAAATTCAGAACAGTAAACGAAATATTACAATTTTACTAAAAGTGGAAACATCAAGTTTACTTCTAATTATTTACAGTATCTAAAATTCTCAACAATCGTGTCAGGGATAATAAATTTATTTCTAATAATTTATAGCATTTAAAATTCCTAACAATAGATAAAATATCACAATTTTATTATGAAATGATTATTTTTTCAGGAGAATGAGAACACTTATTTATATGTTACTATTGGATGAGAGAGATTACAATACTCGTTTAATTTAAGTCGGCCTCAGACTTTGTCAACTCGTCTCACTGAGGTCGGAAAACATCTTTGGCTTACGGTCCCGACCATACTCTGCCAATGTTTATGTGTTTGGTTAGCCACTCGGCAGCGAGCCCAGTCCGTGTGCTCCGGCCATTCGGAGTTCAGAGTCGTCGGGGTTTTCGTTGACGGATCAAACCGTGCACTGTTTCACCATTAAATGCTTCGGGCTTCCTCTGTTCATCTGTAGTTGAATTGGACAGAGGTGGTATTTATTTATCAGGAAAGATGAAGGCTCACGGAAGGGTCGAGGATCTTCAAGGTCAGTAATCGCAGGAAAGTTTCAAGCCACATGTTGGTAGCCTTTGAGCCATTTAATGTTTTAAGATGGGTGCAGTATGCAGTGGCATTGACATGGTGAACGGTTAACATCATAGAAATTCTATCATCCCTTTATCTATCTGTCTATTTTTTAATGTAGGGTTAAGATTGTCCAAATTACAATGTCACTTTTCTATACTATTTTATTTTTATTTTTTTTCTATAAACTATTTTGACACCAAATTTTGGACATCCATACCTTTATTAATCTCGCATTAACAAAAAATATTTTTAATAAAATAAAATAATCAAAATACCCTTGAAAGTTTCAAGGGGTATTTTGGTTATAATATTTTATCAAAAAATTATTGTTAATATTTTTTATAGGTGCGCCCCAATGAGAAGATGGCACGTACGAAATTTCATATTTAAAAAATTGTATTAAAAAAACTAAAAACAAAATATTTTGAGTTGTTGGATCTAAGATCAAAATGGTGAGTGGCTGTCTTGATAAAAAATGGACGGCTGAATGGTAGGGGAGGATAGGACATCTATGATGTAGAAAAAACATAGAAAGCTTTTCTAATTAAAATAGGGTAGAGAGAGCGTTTAAAAATTGGACACGTAATTGCATTGTGTCCTAGAATAATAAAGTGGGTTTGCCTCATTGCAACGAAAGTGGGAAAAGAACCCACCTCATGCAAAAAGTGAATTAATAGTTGGTGGACCAAAAATCCACCACAGCAAGATGGACCAGCACAAATTTGTTTTAAGAAAAAGAGTTGCTTGGTTGCTACGTCAATGGGTAGTAAAAAAATTTCTTCCATACCAATTAAAAAAGAAAAAGTGGTCCTCTTAGACCACACTATACAAATGGTTCACAAGTCAAATGTGTGAAATTATTGTTTTGAAGCACTAAATAAAACTAACACTTCTAACATAAATGAAAAGGTTCTTGTGAACTAATGATCCCACATATCAATACAATGAACCCTGATCAAAAATTATTTCTTCATATAATTATTTGTTTTTATTTTTATTCTATTATTATTACTATTATTATTTTATGTTCACTATTATTTTTCAGTTAAAAAAGTTTTAAGGTCATCACCTTTACCATTATTATTTTATCATTTCTAAAAATTTAGGGTCCTTACAACCCGCTCAACCAACTGGTTATGTGCCTCGATCTCGCCCTCCGGGTCGGGATAACTTGGTGGCACGTGTATCGGGTTTCTGGGGAACCTGGGACTTGAGACCGCTCTCTCGAGAACCTTGTTGGGAAACAAGGGCAGGTATACCAACCAATGAGAGAGGAATTTTATGTAGGCGGGACACACCTCATTAGTTAGGTGGCGCGATCTCGCCTCCCCGGATCAAGTTGATCGGATGACTCGTGTCTCGAGTTGGAAAAACCCAGGATTTGAGATCACTTTCTTGGGAACCTCGTTCATAGAACAAGGGCAGGTGTCTAACTAGTGAGAGAGGAATTTTAACGTGAGGTAGGGATCAACCTCACCTGGGTCCGTGACTACTGATTTTATTGCAATGTTCTTCACAAATCGACAACTTCTCTCTAGCTTTTCTTTGCGCTCGGGTGTCGTTACAGGGCGTGCCACATATCAAAACGCTCGTCTCAATGAGGCGAACACATCCAACAAGTTTAATCACGATCCAATCTCAAACGAATGAGATATAAGCATTGCAAGTTACTGTTCGTGACTGTCCCTTTAATGGAGTTTAGTTGTAGGGTGGCTGCATGGGAATAGTGTGTGGCTCCTCCTGTTTCGATCTTTTGCTTATAACGTTTTCTTGGAGTGTCCATTTTAGTTGAAATTGGACCCCTGATTGTTTTCAACCATGTCGGATCCAATGACAGTGGTCCCACAGTAATTTGATGCACTAAAAATATAATTCTAGTTATAGGGGTCCATTTTAGGGTGCTAGAGGCTGATTATGCCGAAACTGTTTCTCAATCTGCACTGCCTTAGACATGTCGAAATGTGACAAACTTGGCAGGAGACTTTTAGGAGCCTTTATGAAGACCTTAACTTGTTCTGGGGCCATTCTGACATTGTAGGAATTTCCACTATTTGTGAGGCTTTAAGGACCGGCTTCTCTTTTATTTCGCATCGGTGACCCATGGTGCTGAAAAATGTCTTCAAACAACATGCGTCGTCGAATGTTGTTTTTAGAGAGAAGCGAGAGGGACAATCATTCAAAAATTTCCTCTGGCTTTATTTCTTTTTTCTTCCTAGCCATAGGACCACGTGAACGTCGAGGAGATTCTCGACATTCACGTAATGCTATAACTAGGATGCTCAGATGTTTAGATTCAATGTACAGGTCCATCCGTGGAGACTTTAGGGGGAGAAGATACTTTTGAGGGATATGTCGGAGTCCTCACCCTCAAGGGACTATATGCGAATCTAGCAATTGAGAATTTTGTGTGGACCTCGTTGGTCAGAATTGGACTTATTTGGCAGCCAAGTGCTACGAAACTTTGGTTGGCATTGTTTGCTGCTACACCAGGTTTGTTTTTGATGATCAAGGTACCTCTGTAGTCCCATCTAGTGGGGTCTAGTTGGGGATTTTTTGTTGGCCTGTCTCAAAGGTCTAGGCCTGTCGACTAGAGAGAATTTTGGTGAGGCGGCCTCGTAGGCCCCATCTTGCCGGGTCCAGTCGGGGGCTTTTTGTTGGCTTGTCCTGAAGGCCTGAGCCTGTCGGCTGAGGAAGGTGTTTGGTGAGGCAATCTCATGGCGAGGCATCACCCTGAAGTCTTTGGCAGGTTGGGTCTTGGCTTTGGCAGTTTCTTGCCTTCGTAGGGGTCTTCAGCATTTTGGAGGGATCTTTCGGTCATCGTCCTTACCCTCAAGGACTCTTCTTATTTTTGGAGGTGAAGTGTGGGAGATCTTATCAGGCTCTCACTCCCGGGTGAGCTATTTTGTGTTGTGATTGGATATTGACAGTCGAGGATTTTGTGTAGACCCCATTAGCCAGAATTGTGACCGTTTGGCAATAAGGTGCCGGCTGAGGCTGTAATGTTGCGTCAACCTACTTTTTGTTGGTCCAAGCGCCCTTTGCTAATTTTCACTTGGGCTGGGGAAGTGGTGCTGCAGAGACAGTTTTCACCAACTTCCTTGATTTTCGGATTCTTTTACCCATGACCCTTCGGACATGTCCATCCTTTTCATTCGTTTTTGCTCATGGTGCCCTTTTAGGGTTTTCACCGTGCCCGGGTTTTTATTCACGAAACTCTTTTTCTCATGGTTTCGTGACTATGCCCGTCCATCATTTTTACTCATGGCATTCCCTTGTCTAGGTATACACTATGCCTGTTATTATATTTTTGTGACGGTGTGTTTAGGGATATGCCTTCGGAACCTGTGCGAAGCCTTTTATCGTCATGCGGGGAGGACGTGTACTATAGTTTAGGGTCATACAGCTGAACTAGAGTTGAGATGAATGACAGTTTTTGGAGGCCATGGAGTGAGTATGATGGTGATTTGACTCACTTTGGGGAGATGGCTCGAGGCTACCTTTGAAAGATGGATGTTCTATGAATGGTGGGTGAAAAGTGGTGACCCACTAGCTGACAGCGAGGATGGATAGTGGAATGGTTCGTCGTTTTATGAGCACGAGTGAGACTCGATGAATGGTAGTAATGAAGTGAATGGATTCACTGGGAAAGCAATGAAGGTGGTGTGCGCACACGAATGAGTCGGTTAGGGAAGGTGTATGTGAAGATGCACGTAAAGGGGGTGTGCGCATATGTGGGGGCATCTTTAAGGTTATGCCTCCTAGACCTGGGCAAAGCAGTTTAACGTCATGCAGCCAGGACATGCACTATGGTTTAAGGTCATATAGCTTGGACTGTGGTTATGCAGTTTAAAGTTGTAGAACTCGGACCATACAGTTTAAGGTTATGCAACTAGACCTCCGCTACAGTTTAATGTCATATAGTTCAGATCATGGTGCTAAGCCTTTTAATGTCATGCAGCTATCACGTAGACTATGGTTTATGGTCATATAGTTTGGACCGTGGCTATGCAGTTTAAAGTCATGCAGCTAGGACTAGGCAGCTTAAGGTCGTGCAACTAGACCTCTACTACAGTTTAAGGTCATATAGTTTGGACCATGGTGCTAAGCCTTTTAATGTCATGCAGCTAGGACATAGACTATAGTTTATGGTCATATAGTTTGGACCGTGGCTATGCAATTTAAAGTCATGCAGTTAGGATTAGGCCGTTTAAGCTCATGCAACTAGACGTCCGCTACAGTTTAAGGTCATATAGTTTGGACCATGCAATTTTAGGGTCGTGCACCTAGACCAAGGTTGTGCAGTTTAAGATTATGCAGCACAAATCAGGGCGTGGGTCACCATGTAGGTGAAGCTGCATAGGCTTGTGAATAGTAATTTGACTCCCTGGGGATTAAAATAGCTAAGGCTATACACAAGCAAAGAGCGTTTAGATGAAGATGGTGGCGCTACGAGGAATGGAAAATGGAGGAGAACTTCACTTGGGATTAAGAGGGCAAGTGTGACTCCCCAGGGATAAGGAGTAATGGTATGCATGTAACTCTGCTGTGAATGACAGGTCAGAGCACAAATGTAACCCTACTGAGGGTTGAAAGCATAAGAATGACCCTAACTCCCTGGGGATGGTGGGTCGTAATAGGATGTGATTCCTACTGGGGATGTTGGTGTGAAACAGACCCATCGAGGATTGAAGGGGTAAGGCGACCCTCTTTTTTCTTTTAAATACACATAACTCCACTGGGGATGTTGATGGAATACACCTGGCAAAGCGGTTTTCACAGTTTAGGTCATGCGTATGGACTATCTGTTGCGCTGTGTGTTACAGTTTTAAAGTCTTGTAGCTCGAACCTTAGCTATGCAGTTTAAAGTCATGCAGCTAGGACCATGCAGTTTAAGGTCGTGCAACTAGCTACAGTCTAAGGTCGTATAGTTTGGATCATGCAGTTTAGGGTCGTGCGTCTAGACCTTCGCTACAGTTTAAGGTTTTATAGTTTGG